CCCTCTCTCTCTCTCTCTCTCTCTCTCTCTCTCTCTCTCTCTCTCTTCTGCTACTCCAAATTGGCTCCTTCTTACTGCTGTCTTTTAGTCACACCCCTTATCTTATGGTGGGTAAGATCTACACCAAGCCTTCTCAGATAACGGGAGAAAAATCTAGGAGGTCCCCTTTGCAAGTTACGCACGTTAGAGATCCCTTGGTAGCCCAAAATCGATAAGAGTAGGCTTCGGTCACCATGAGGGCAAAATTCAAATATTCCTACCAAATGAAATGTTAAAAGTGTTCCACACGCTCATATGGCTTTATGCAGTTGCGAGTGTCATAAAACACTGACCTAAAAAATCGCAAGTAGCTTATTGGTAACCTCTTGGCCTACCCCACACTACGCCCCTACTGCTCGTAACAATGACTTTTAACAGTTGTAAGTAAATTCAATTACTGAAAAAAAGGATGAATATCGTGGCAAATATTGCCAAAGATTAATTAAACTTAGATCTAGATCTATATGTTTTCCGAATAAAAAACCCAATAACTTTTGAGGCGATTGAGAAATTGAAAAAAGATACAATCAATTGTTCCGTTGTTTCCCTGGTCCCCTCTAAGTATTTTGATTTTTTACACTGACCAAGACTGATTGGTTGATGGTTGTTGTCTTTCTTGAAAGTTGTTTACAAGATGGCTGACACCGGGCAAAATCGTTTTCGAGGGGTACGTGCGTGGGTTTTGCTCCTAAACTTTCTATAACCTCTAATTATACTTTTGAATTTGGTAATGGTAAATGATACTACTATTTTAGGGGGATTGCATTACTTTTTCTTCGGTTAAAATGTTGTAAGAAGCTCTAACTTATCTTGCCAAAGTGGAGAAAACTTGTTCGTGCTTGCTAATCTGCAGGCTAAGACTAAGGCTAAAAGGCTACATCTAGATCTAAATTTGATTGTATTATCGACTCTCAACGCTCCCAATATTTAGCCAGATCTTATGAGTAGGGTCAAACTTTTTATTTGTTTAGCTAAGATCAACCACCAGGCTCTTGCTTTAATTCCAACGAAGTGTATACAGACCCGGTAACCGGGAACAAAGTCTCAAAGTATACAGACCCGGTAGGGGAACTCTTTTGTGATTTCGGAAAGTTTCAGCGCCCAGACCCGGTAGAAATCTAGTGTGTGTGTGTGTGTGTGTGTGTGTGTGTGTGTGTGTGTGTGTGAGAGAGAGAGAGAGAGAGGTGCTAGCAAAATGTATGAAATGCCCCAGTTGGCAGGGGGGAACGAGAGAAAGATAGAGTGGAAAAAAGGTGGGGACAAAGAAAGACAGAGACAAACAAAGAAAAAGAAAAGGAGAGCGATACACAGAGGAGAAAGAGAGAGAGAGAGAGAGAGAGAGAGAGAGAGAGAGAGAGAGAGAGGCAGAGTAATAGAATAATAGATAGGGTGGCTGCTCGATTGAAATTATGACATTGTTCTTTTCTTCAAATTGCGATTCCTCCTACTCCAAAACGGAGGAAAAATGATCGTTCATCAAAAAGACATCCGCAATCTAGATCTCGATCTAGATCTAGGCTAGCCGCGAAACTAGATCAAAGATTTATGTCTGTCTGCCTATATCTAGATCTAGACCTAGGCCATAAACGTCTAGAAGAACCTAGGTCAACCCTGAGCCAAGAGGGCGCTATAACTCTCCGAAATCACAAAAGAGTTCCCCTACCGGGTCTGTATATTTTGTGACTTTGTTCCCGGTTACCGGGTCTGTATACACTCCCTAATTCCAAAAGTTAATATTTTGATTTAGATCATTTTATACCTTTTTTCTTTTCTGGTCTTTTGAACAGTTTTGGAGTTTTTCTGCTGATTATAATGAATGTCTTTCATTTGTGTGTCTAGATCTATTTAGTAATACTATACCTAGATCTAGATTTTAGATCTAATTATAATTCGATAGAAGGCTCAATAAGTAGTAGTATTCACATGATTTAAAAAATCAGGGATTTGTAATGTCATGGTTTGTTTTTAGATCTCAAGGTGTAACTCTAAATTATTGACTTTTTGTGAATCTGTTTTCAAGCAACATCAAGGATCAGGAGAAGACTTCATCTCAGATGGAGATTTCCCACAAGATGCTAAGGTAATTCAACCAACATGAAAACTACTGCATTACTAGATTATTCTACCTTGAAAAAGAGCTACATCTTTTCATGTGCCATCCTCTCATTGAGATGATAAAACATAATATGTGAGCGTGCTTGGTGAAAGAGACCACATGACTCATTTTGAAGAATCCCGGGGGGATTTCTGAACAATATGATTTTTTAATTTTAAAGATATCTTCAGTAGTTTTTGAGAATATGGTGGGTCATTTTGTAGGGCAAGGTAGGCCTACAGAAACAAAGTTTTGAGAAAAGCGGCTTTAGAGTTTCTATTTGTTTCTCTGCTTCAAATAGATAAATCTACGCTTCGGGACGACCTGACAGACAACATATTCGCTACTCACAAACCAACTTTAAAAAGCATTTAAGATGAAAGAACAGCTATAAAGTGTTTATAATAGGCCTACGTTTTCAAAACAAATTCACCACCACCTTGAGCAAGAGTTTTCAAGAAATAGATCTAGGTTGCGCAGGGCAGAAAAATGTGATACAAGTTTGCTCTCCAAAATGGCAAAAAGATATGGACGATGCGCAAAGATTCGCTGTGTTTACATGTTCAAGATATTCATGTTTCATGTGCAGCACCTGCCTCTAGAGAGAAAATAAAATTACCTAAATGTTGGTGGCAATGTGACTGGGTTGACTTTTTGAATGGACAAGAGAAACCATCTGCAGTGTGTACTCGGAAAACGAATTTTTTCATCATGCATTTTTGGGAATTATGCAATATACATCGTTTTTAAAGTACAAGAAACTCAAGTCCTTGTAAATATCGATATATTAATTGTTAAAGAATCCATTTTTAATGGAACTTAGTTTTTGTCAAAAAATTCTATTTTTGACCTTTGAAGCCTGATATCTCGGTTCGAGCAAATGCATCTTGTGGTCCCTTTCACCAGGCACGCTCACATATCATTGCCTTTCTACTTTCTGACCACCCGGCACCAGGTTGCGTACACTGTAATGCTATTTTTCTTCTTTTAGTAAGGTTTTACGACACTCGCAACTGCGTAAGGTCATATGAGCGCCAAGGGGTAAATGTCAACAGAGAAGTCCTTGCAGGGAATCAGGGTTAGCCTATCCTGCTCACCTCTCTAGCTTCAACAGCACAAAGTCTGCTTCGACTATCAAGGCACCCCGGAAATATCGGGTCACAAAAGAGTGACAAACATACAAAAGAAGTAGAGGAAATTGACGACAGTGAGGATGAGGAAAGAATATCAGCAGTTCCCTGTTGCAATTCTGGCCCATTTAGGATGAATCAGCCCATTTAGTATCATTTACAATAATAATTCTGCTGTGCAACAGAACATGGTTAATGTCCCCCCTTTAACGTCCCCCCTATTGGAAGGGGGGGGGGGGTATGTTTCTTCCATTAATTTGGCTTGAAAGAAGAGATTTAAGAAGATACCTACTTTTTCCTCCTCCTTTAAAATTTTGTTTCCCTTTCTATCCTTTTATTGTCTTCCTCCTTCTCTTGCGTACATGGTAATATATTTTTTTTCTTCTATAAATGTTCACTTCAGGAAGAGGTGAGGGAGTGGATAAATGTCAACAGAAAGATGCTTCGCAGTGGATTGTCTTCCATCAGAGTGTTGCCGTCACAGGATGTGAAGCTGGATTCTGGTGAGATGAAACTGTTGAATCAATGACTGCACTTTTGTACTGAAACTCTTAATAATAATACGTGGTGGAATCAGGCGCTTGTCAAATTTGGGGCATATGGGGTTATTGGTATCATCTTAAAGCCTGTTTATTTACCTTGCTTTTGGTGATAAAAAAATATTCATCTATGTTGAATAAAAGTCGAAATATTTGCGATTGAAGGAGGTCAGGGTCACCTGGTTTCAGGGAGGTTAAATTCGTGAGAAAATAGCCACCAAAGTTTGGTAATTTCCATAGCTTGAGAGTCACTGGAAACTGAAAATGTACAATTTTTGTGCTTTTAATCAATGTTTTTCAGTAAAATCCACCCGGAAATGTTTTAAATGGATGTAAAAAGTGTTGGACCAAAAGAAGAAAATTAGGAAAACAATTGGCCAACAACCACAAAAATACTAATTTCTTTGATTTCATTATTTTGACGAGCGCCTGATTTCACCACAGTGCTTCACATATGTGAGGCAGCGTGGTGGAATCAGGCTCTCGTCAAAATAATCAAAGGGAAGAAACTTGCATTTTTCCGCAGGTTTGTGAATTTTTATTAATTTTTGGTTTTTGGCTCAACACCTTTCATGCCCTTTAAAGAACTCATTTCTGTGTCGATTTTTCTGAAAAACGTTGACTAAAGACAAAGAAAATGTAAATTTTCAGTTACCACGGACTGTTAAGCTAAGGAAATGACTAACCTTTGGCGGCCATTTTCTCACAAATTTTACCTCTGAAAACACGTGACCCCCACCACCCACTTTCGTATATATCTCGACTTGTCTTCAAGATAAATGGATACTTTTTCATCCAAATAAAGACAAGTGAACAAGCTTTAAGATGATACCAATAACTCTACATGCCCAAAAATTGACGAGAGCCTGATTCCGCCACGCTGCTTCACATATGTCTTAAATTTTAAGGGAGACCTTGTGAGTGAGATTTGCTTCATCTAAATCCTGTTCAGTGCAGTTTTTGTGAGAAAATTTCTTTTTGTGTTTTATACCTGATCTAATCTCATCATCCCATTTCATTTGTATTAATTTCTGTTTTATTCAATACACTTTCATTGATTGACTATGTGTATCTGTCTTTATATGAGCTGATTTCTAACATTTTGAAACTTAAAAGAAATGATTGGTAAGTTATTCTTGTTTAAAATTCATGACTTTTGAGTTTGGTTAAAGAAGCTTACATAGTTTTTAGGGTGATTTATTCTCAAAAATCAAACTTTCCCACTTCAGTGCATATTTAAGTCGCACACTGAATTCATGGATAAATGTATCGTTCAATCCAGGACAAGTTGTGGTTCTAGTTTGTGAGAGTTTCATACCCACCCCCCCCCCCCCCCCCCCGCACAAGGGCAGTGCTACTGACTGATGTTTCTTTAGGCCATTCCCAAAGGGGGGATAGTAACATGTTCTTATGCACAATAGAATTGTAAATGGGCTGATTTATCAATGTCATGCTCATACTGTGCTGAAACAACATAGGAGGAACTGCTGCTTTTTCTTTCCTCGTCCTTGCTATCATCATTTTTCCTCTACTTTTTTTGTATGTTTGTCACTCTCTTGTGACCCGCTATTTCCGGGGTGCCTTGATAGTCAAAGCAGACTTTGTGCTGTTGAAGCTAGAGAGGTGAGCAGAGTAAGCCTGATTCCCCGTTTGGACTTCTCTGCTGACATCCACCCCTTGGCACTCATATGACTTTATGCAGTTGCAAACGCCATAAAACCTTACTAAGACCAAAGATAGTAAATAACAAGATGGGCCACTCAGCCAAAAAAGTGTCCGCAGGAAGTTCGCTCTTTGCTTCAGATGGCGCTGCAGTCTGTTTTGAAGCTCTCTTACGTTTTTCCAGAAGAAGAATAGGAATAGCACCTCCTTGCGTGCGCAGATCGACTGCTGTTCATCAGCAGTTCGGGTTCGTTCAGTGCAGAGTTTTAGGGTTTAAAAAAAATTTTAATGACCTCTCGCCTTTCATTCTAAAGTCAAATTAAACGAAGAAAACAATCACCCTTTCCTCCGGAAGAGGTTTTTGGTCAGCGTAACAATTTTTTTAAAAGCGTTCTTCCGAAATTTATTCAAAAACTTGCTAGTTTCACTTTGATTTTTTAAACTCAAGTAGGGTAACTCTGTTCGCAAAGGGTTCGCATTTGTGAAGAGGGCGCCACCGAATTTTGAGGACACTTTTTTAATTGGCTCAAAGAGAGAAGTGGCCCCTCTTATTATGTCGACTCTTTGCTAAGACTAAGTGCCACAAAACCGTATTACCTTACTAAAACTAAACTAAAACACAGCCGACCACCCGTGTCTACAGGTCGCTACCTGTGCATGGACCTTGAGTCAAGCCAGTCTCTGCGGGCGTCGATGATGTCTCTGATCACGGAGGTGGACAGGAAGGACAGCATGGTGCAGGATCTGGTGCAGACCAACAGCCGGCTCAAGTAGGTTGCTGTTACTGTTATGTAGGTCGCTGTTACATATATCGCTGTTACGTAGTCGTGCGTGGCCACAGGGGACAAAGATGTCATTGTTATTGTTGTTGTAGTTTATTGTTGTCGTTGTTGTTGATGTTATTATTGTTGTTATTATTATTGTTGTTGTTATTGTTGTCATTGTTGTTGTTGTTGATGTTATTGCATTGTTAATGTAGTTGTTGTTATTATTGTTGTTGTTATGGTTGTCATTGCTAATGTTTTTGTTGTTGTTATTGTTGTTGTTATGGTTGTACCACCAACTTCTACTGGACTTTAATTTGTAAAGTTGCTTTTGTTTTCTTCTTCCTCTTCTGCTATCGAACCAACGCCTATACGATCGCTCACATGGATTTTCTGCCCTGGCCATGCAGGTGTTGGAGGAAATGAAAAGGCCGACAGATTGGCTGGTGAGGCCACCTTAGTTGACAATACGGTTCAACCAGATAGGGTCGTGATCCTGAAATGTCTCTCTCGCCAGCTGATTGAGGAGGAGGATAGGGAGTTAGAGGCCAGTACTGCCGTGGAGAGGATGATGCTTTTGGGAATAAAAAAAGGAAGCGGAAAATTTGGCATCCTTGCAGGAAAGAACAGAAGAACGTTCAACCAGATGTGCACGGGCACAATCAGTAGAAGGACCCGGGGCAACATTTTGGAGAGAGCAACGGAGCATCAATGGACATGTCCGGAGTGCAGGGATGTCGCTTCCTGAAACAAGAACAAGAACTGCTTTTGCCTCTTTTTGGTGTTTCTTTTCTTCTTTCTGTCATTGACAAACATGTCTTCAATTGGTGTTTGGAGGTCGTCACCAGCTGGTCACATAATTCCTTCACTTTGCTCTTGTTTCTGTCTGTCTTTCGAGTTCTTTCCCAGCATTAAATGGCTGCTATCGAATAGATGTGCTTTATTTTTATTAAAACTATAACCAAATGTCCTAAAACGCCTTCTATCAGAGTTGGACATTTAGTTCAGAGGTTGTGTGTCTTTTAGTGTTGAGAACTTTAAACCTATACAATTTGGCAAAAGCGGAAGATAGTTCAGAAATTATAGAAATGATTATGTGATGTATTTTGTTGCCATATGCTATGCTATAGCTCATGGTGATTCATCACTTATTTTTAAAACGTTGTTGTTTTTATGCCCCCAATGATTACGCATATTACAGGTAATATGTGATGATTGTGCACGCTACAAACGGTCGCTTGTGAGCACAAGGGGGCTATCCTGAAAAATTCTGTTTTGAGAAAATCAAAGCCGCCCCTTGTTCAGTTTCTTTAAAAGACAAGGAGAGTTTTCTCTATAACTAAACAAATATACACAGCAATGAAACCAAACTTCTCCTATAGGTAGGGATATGCCCACTTTTGGTGTAAGTCAAGATTTTTGGAAACCCCCGAAATCTGGGTTAGCCCGCTTGTCCTTAAAAGCGACCTAATAATATACGATGATTGCGCACACTATAAGGAATGTGTAATGAGACGTGTCAACTCAATTGTGTCAACTTTAAAACAAAATATTTTTTTTAAAAACAAAACCATGTGTGTTTTTCAGGGAAGAGGTGTCGGAGCTGGCCTCGGAGGCTGAAACAGCCAGCACCAAGGCCAAGGACATCAAGGTCATGCTAGAGTGCTCGCGGGCTCGAGTCCAGGTCGGTGCCTTTTTTCGGTTATTTGTTGTTGTTTTTTTGGTTTTTTGGGGACGGTTTTTGTTTATTGGGAGTGGTTTTTTGCTGCACCACTTTATTCAAACTAACCTCATTTATCACTGGGTTTTTTTTTATCATGTTTGCTCATTTTTTTTAAGCCAGTGTTTTAAGCCCCTTTTCTTTCACAATTTAAATCATTTAGGAGTTTTGACCCTGCTTGTCAGGGCAGACCGGCTGGGGCTGAGAGGTAGAGCCTACGACATCTGAGCAGAAAGACCAACGTACTCTCTAAATGTGTATATGGGCTGATTTATTCGTCAATGTATGTATATCTGCTATTGTAAACCAAACTGCCGTTCTGGGATCTATAAAAATGTAATTTGTTTAATTATTTTTTTACCAAATCAACTCCCAGGAGCTAGAAGATGAACAGTCAAGGTCGTCGTCAGCCTACGCGGATGAAGGCGAGCGTCTGCGCAACACAAAGTCGGCCATTAACCAGCGGTGTCGGCAGCTCGAGGCAAAAGTTGAGGAGCAAGAGAAAGAGGCAGACCGTCTCCGGCGAGAACTTCACACCTTGTCGATGGAGGTTTGTTTATTTGTTTATTTGGTTGTTTTGTTGTTGTTGTTTTTTGGGGGGCGGGAGGGGGGGGGGTTGAGAGGCATTTTGAGTTGAGAGGTGTGGATGACAGACAGAAGTAGTTCTGGGAAGTTCAGGCAATGAGCCGCGACTTTTTTCCCTAGCCTGAATGCTGCGGCTTAAACAGCGATGCGGATTTTTACGATAGCAGGATCATCCCTCCCTAATTGTGACATATATGTTATATGTATGTGTGACGTACATATGATGTACTTTTGCTAGAGTCTTGGACCTAACAGTAGTAATCATGTTTTGTTTTGTTTTGTTTGCTCCGGTCAGGACGAGCGTCGGACAAAACGACAGAACCAGGTGTTCATGGAGTTCAAGAAAAGAACGTCGCGGGCACACTCGGCCGTGGACCAGAAGTAGGTCGTCGTCTGTTGTCGAAATACCTCAGTGGATAGTTATTGTAGTTGATTGCTACCATAGGCAGTCATAATAATTGGTCACTTTTAAGCACAAGGGGGCTATCCCAAAAAAATGCTGTTTTGAGAAAATCAAGTGTAAAGTTTTTGGACCCTTGTTCAGTTTCATTAAAAAATGAGGAGATTTTCCTCTTTAACCAAACAAATATACACACCAATGAACCAAACTTCTCCGTTCCCCATTTGGACTTCTCTGTTGACACCAACCTGTCCATTTTGTCCCCAGACTTCTGGACGTCATTGACGCCTACGAATGTCAGATCTATGACCTTCAGAAACAGCTGGACACCAGCGGGTATGTCATGTTGTCTCTGTTATAATAATAGAAAGCATTTGTGAGATGTGCTGACAAAATGAGTTACTTCTCCGATTTTAGCCTTATGGAACTTGATACATCAACTTTATAGGTGAAGTTTGTACCATTTGTAAGTATGGAAGAATAAAAGACATGGTAGACTTGAACAAAATGGTATCAATTAGAAATCTATAAATCTGACCGCAGTGTCGATTTTCGGCCGATATGTCCATTCTGGGACAGCGAGAAGTAACTCATTTTGTCAGCACACCTCACATTTGTATAGCGCAAATCCCCGCTCGACAGCAAGATCTATGCTCTTCACTATCTATACTATTACCCCAGCAGACCTGTGAGCATTCTGAAACAATCTCAACTTCCCAAACACGTCATTGCCTTTTCAAAATATTGGCAAAATAAAAACTATTTGGACACATTATGAGATGCAGTTTTCTTTTTCTGTGAGAGCATTTCTTTCTCTCTTCTGTTGCTTTTTAAAGATTATGACAGCTTTCACGGTCTTTTTCTGGTTAACGATTCAGTATACCCCAAAACTGTCAGGCTGCAATGGTTGTTTGGTGAAACATTGCTCAGGCTTAAGTGAGTTAAAGCTTAACATCATCATTAACCTTCCCCCTACCCCCTCCCCCTCCCCCCCCCCCCCCCCCAAGCCCTTTCAGAAAGCACAAAATTAATTTTGATGACTAAATTGAAAATGTTTTCCAAAATTAGATAACTGATCCACAGATAGAAAAAGGGGTATATACTGAAAGACTGAGTTACACTATAAAGTAGTGATGGCCAATATCAGCAATGTCAAATTCGATACAATATCGATATTTTTTCACAAGAAATATTTTTCTATATTACAAAAATATTATCAATAAATTGAACCTCGTCATCAAATATATCGATATATCGATAATTATTGAGTCTGGTCGATATTTCCAAATTATTTTTTTTTTTTTATTGCTGTAAGAATTATTATTTTTGTTAGTTATAGCTTAAAAAATGTTTGTGTTTAATTGTGAGGGAAAAGATAAAATCAGTCTGTTAATTCCTAGAAATTTGGTGCTGAGTGGTGGCCATATAAAAAAATAAATGTTTTCTCACTGCTTCAATACGATATCTATATGTGAGGCGTGCTGACAAAATGAGTTACTTCTCGCAATTCACAAATGGAGATATTGGCCAAAAATCGACACTAGAGTCAAATTTGTAGAATATCTATAGATGCCATATTCTTTAACTATAACCTGTGTTTTATTATTTCATTCTTATAAATTGTAAAAACGTCACCTATAAGCTTGATGTATCTATTTCCTTAAGGCTCGAATCCGAGAAACAACTCATTTTGTCAGCACGCTCCACATATGTGTAAAAATATCAATATTTGGATTTCGATATGCCCACCACTACCTTTAAGAATGATATCATATCGAAATATTGATATTTTTACATCGTAGTTTGCTTTATTTTTATCTGGAGCCACTTAATGTTTTTATTTTGTTTTGTTATGTTCATATATCTAGCACATGATCCGAAGTAGGTTCTGTATGGATTAACTCCATCTCTATTTGTGAGACAGCGTGGTGGAATCAGGCTCTCGTCTATTTTTGGGCATGTAGAGTTATTGGTATCATCTTAAAGCTTGTTCACTTATCTTTATTTGGTTGAAAAAAATATTCATTTATCTTGAATACAAGTCGAGATATTTGTGAATGAAGGAGGTGGGGGTCACCTGTTTTCAGAGGTAAATCTGGTGAGAAAATGGCCGCCAAAGATTAGTTATTTCCTTAGCTTAAGAATCCGTGGTAACAGAAAATTTACATTTTTTGAGCCTTTAATCAACGTTTTTCAGAAAAATCCACACAGAAATGAGTTCTTTAATGGACATGAAAGGTGTTGAGTCAAAAAACAAAATTTTGATACAAATTCACAAACCTGCAAAAAAATGCAAGTTTCTTCACTTTGATTATTTTGACGAGAGCCTGATTCCACCACGCTGACTCACATTTGTAAGGTGTGCTGACAAAACGAGTTGCCTCTAGCAATCAACAAACGCAGATTTTGGCCAAAATTCAACTTTAGGGTCAAATTTGTAGATTTTTTTTAATGTCTTGTATTATTTCAGACTTATAAATTGGAAAAACTTCACCTATATCTGTGATGTATCTATTTCCAGGGTCCTCGAATCTAAAAAAGTAACTCATTTTTTCAGCGTGCTTCACATTTTTTTTCTTTTAGTGAGTAAACAGACTCCATTATTAATTTTCTTCATTTTTTTCTTTCTTTTATTTTCTTCTTTCTTTCAGCCTGTAAACTGACTCCATTTTTTTTTTTTTTTTCATTTTCTTTCTGTCCTGTCAGTGTGGAGTCAAGAGGGAGGTCGCGGGGAGAGGAGTCTGTGGCCTCATACAGCAGTCAGTACCGAGGGATCCTGAGGGTAAGTCGTTCTCACTGACAGTCACTCAGTACAGAGGGTAAGTCGCTCTCTCTGTCACTCAGTACAGAGGGTAAGTCATTCTCACTGACAGTCACTCAGTACAGAGGGTAAGTCATTCTTACTAACTGTCACTCAGTACAGAGGGTAAGTCGTTCTCACTGACTGTCAGTCACTCAGCTTAGTCATTACTAAAAAACTTGGTTTGATAATTGTTCCGAAAACTAGCAAAAAATCAGCTCTAAATGAAATGAAACAATTGTCACTTGTATCGAACACTGGGATCGTCCGATGGGGTTTAAAGAGTTAAAATGTAATATTATTAATTTTGTACACCTTTATTTCTTCCATTTTGCAGAAGAATTTCTTCTGCAGATCATGCATTGGTCATCATCTGAAACTGGAAAACTACTATTGTTGTTTTTAGGGTCTTGTGTACACTGTTAGATTTGTAGTAGCAGCAACTTGAGGGCAGAGTCTTGGAAGTGGAGGTCAAATCTTGACAATTTTGTTACAAACAAGATGGAATCAGGCTCTCATCAATTTTTGGGCATGTTCAGTTATTGGTCTCATCTTAAAGCTTGTTCACTTGGCTTGCTTTGGATGAAAAAAATATTCATTTATCTTAAATACAAGTGGAGATATTTGCAAATGAAGGAGATGGGGGTTCACCTGGTTTCAGAGGTAAAATAAGTGAGAAATAGGCCGCCAAAGATAAGTTATTTCCTTAACTTGAGGGTCTGTGTAAAATAAAATTTTACTTTTTTTTTGTGCCTTTAATCAACGACTTTCAATAAAAATCCACACAGAAATGTGTTTTTTAATGAGCATGAAAGGTGTTAAGCCATTTTTTAAAATTCAATAAAAATTCACAAACCTCCGAAAAAATGCTAGTTTCTTCAGTTTGATTATTTGGACGAGCGTCTGATTTCACCACGCTGCCTCACATATCGTTGTTTTTGTTTGCTCTGCTCGTCTAGTCGTACGAGAAACAGTTACGGGAAAGAGACCGGAAGATCAAAGAACTGGAGGAAGAGAGGGAAGTGGACAAGTTGGACATGGGATCTCGGTAAGTCAAATAACGATGTTATAATATAATAATAAAAATAATTGCATTTATATATATATATATAGCGCACATTCAAAACGGGACTGTGTGCTCCATTGTCTGGAATTTTTACCAAATGCTAAGTTGCACACGAAGAGTATAAATTTTTTCTATTTTTTAAATGTGTGTGTGTTTTTAACAGTTATGAAGCAGGCTTCCGACCCTGCCTATCAGGACCAGCCTGGGATGAGAGGGATACAACATCCCTATGGAAAGACCAAGATTAAAATCATCATCATACCTGCACTTCACTTTGTCTTGCGTTGCAGCGATGGTGTCTGTTGTTCTTGCTGCTCCCAGCCGTGTTGTCAACTTGTACAGTATCTTTTCCCTCTGTCTGCCCCTGCCTCTCTTTCCATCAAACTTGCCTATTGTTACAATATTCTCCAATTCTTCTTTCCGCTTTGTGTGTCCAATGAACTTTGCCTGTCGCTTTCATATACATGTATTCGTCATAAGCTGTCGTCTGCAATTTCCTTCAGCTAAGACTTCTTCATTTGTTTTTCTAACTGTCCATGGGATACGCAGCATGCGTTTTATGAACCACAACTCTGTCGCCTCAATTATTCTTTCCAGCTGTCTATTGATTGTCCATGCTTCGCACCTGTATAATAGGATTGATATAATTTTCTCCCCCCTCGGAAGTCAAACTTGAGTCTCCTGCTTGTGACAGCAAAGCACCTTACAGCTACACTGCAGATGCCAGTGTAAAGAGTAAAAGACACCTCTGTCCAGTTTTAGTTGTAGTAAGAGTTTTACGGCACTTGCAACACTATAAGGTCATATAAGTGCCACAGATTAGATGTATTATAAGAGAGTTTCAAATATATATAAAAGAAGGAGGAGAGATCAGGACGATAGATCTTTGATAGAAACTTTACTTTTCCGATCCCACGATCTGGGTTCTAGCCCTTCGGCCTGTCGATATGGCAAAGAATTTTCAGGTTTTTATCAACTGTGCTTCGTGTTTGATAGGAAAGAAGTAGCAAACCACACCAAAGAGACCTCCGAAAACAAGATACAGTTTATAGAACTCCTAAAAAAACCGAAAGAAGAAAATAACCGACTTGTCTGTGACTTTCCCCTTTCCCCTCTCCCTGTGTGATGCTTACAAAACTCCTGAACAAAAAACAAAACATATATGTGAGTCATGCTGACAAAATGAGTTACTTCTCGCAATCCACAAATGGAGATATTGGCCAAAAATCGACATTAGGGTCAAACTTGTAGATTTTCAGTTGATGCCATGTTCTTTAACTCTAACCTGTCTTTTATTATTCCCTACTTATAAACTGTAAAAACGTCACCTATAAGCATGATGTATCTATTTCCTTAAGGCTTGAATCTGAGAAGTAACTCATTTTGTCAGCACGCTTCACATATGTCTCTCACTTTCCCCTCTCCCTGTGTGATGCTTACAGAACTCCTGAACAATCAAAAAAACATAAATGTGAGCCAGCGTGGTGGAATCAGGTTCTCGTCAATTTTTGGGCATATAGAGTTATTAGTATCATCTTAATAAAGCTTGTTCATTTGTCTTACTTTCAATGAAAAAATTACAAATCCGTCTTTAATAGAAGTGGAGATAATTTGGATTGAAGGAGGTAGGGGTCACCTGGTTTAAGAGGTACAATTAGCGAGAAAATGGCCGCCAAAGCTTGGTAAATTCCAAAGCTGGAGAGTCCATGGAAACTGTAAATTTATATTTTTGTGTCTTTAATCAACGTTTTCAGTGAAATCCTCAAAGGAATGTGTTTGTAAATGGACATAAAAGGTGTTGAGCCAAAAAACAAAAATTTGATAAAAATTTCTAAGCAAGGAGAAAACTGCTGTTTTCTTCGATTTCAGTATTTTTACGAGAGCTTGATTCCACCACGCTGCCTCACATGTGTCTCTGACTTTACCTTTTCCCTGTGTGAACTTACAGAACTCCTAAACCAAAGAAAAAAAAAAAAACACTAAACTCTGATTTCCCCCTCTTCTCCCCTTTCCCCTCTCTCCCCACGTGTGACGTGGCTGTGGCCAGGCCAGAGATGAAGGACTACAGGATGCTGGCGCAGCGGGTCAAGAAGCTGGAGAAACTGCTGAGTCAGCACAACATTAAGTGAGTCAGTACTTCTTGGAAGTTACCAACTTGAATTACTTGAATGTAGAACTGGGGTCTTAGGAAGACGGGATGCTCCATGCTTCCTCGCCCCTCTTCATGAGGGTCCATTTCAGTGTGTGCAGGCTGATTGTCTCTATCATCAGCTGGTTGTTGTAGTGTGTGATTGTCTCCATCATCAGCTGGTTGTTGTAGTGTGTGATTGTCTCCATCATCAGCTGGTTGCTGTAGCGTCTGATGGGGTCACGCAGCCTGCTCTTCCTACCTTCACCAAGCTGCTCTCCTTTGGCTATCACAACCTCCTTATTGGAAGTTGTTAGGCACGCATACGCCTGCCTTACACTGAATTGTTTGGGGCACGTAGTTTCAAAGTCAAGGTCATTCGCAATTAATTTCATCAGCGTGATTGGCAAAGTTGTACAAAGAGATTGAGACACGTGGAAATATGGATGACACATAGGACCAGACCGTCTCTAGATTTTGGAAACATTTTCACTTCTCTAAATGAGTTACGTAAGAGAAGCTATTGAAGACTATGGTAAACTGAAGTTCTGCAGGTTCGTCAAAGGAGACCCCCGAAAAGTAGGTCTAGATCTGTTCTTACTCTTAGCCTTGTGACTTTGAAAATACGTGCCCCAGACTATTAATTCAGTGTTAGGCGGGCACATTTTCCTCACTGTGACTTTTCCATTTTGGCAGCTGGTTTCTTTATTTTTCCTTTCAGTACATAATCAGAAAAAATATACATAACTTTTTTGATATTTTGAGAGAAGCTTGCATGTGTTATTTATGTGATGCTTGCTGACAAAATTAGTTCCTACTCAGATTTTAGCCGTAAGGAAATAGATAGGTGGAGCTTGTACAATTAAATCTTTTATTGCTGAGCGCTCCAGCAGTGAACTCCCCTCATATAGCTTTGTTATGGCAACAGGAAATAAGGTCTACCCTGGAAAATCAATCATAATTAACAGGTTCAATGGCTGTTCAAGTAGAAAAAATGTCTCCTTAAACATTTCCCATAATGCGTCACGATTGGTTCAAATAACTTGTTCTGGATTAGACAGAGTAATTCTTTCTAAAAAGATAGCGAGGCTGAATGCGAGAATACTCGTTGCTAATATGTGGGAGGGGCCCAGGTTTCACGAGTATTTTTGTCCATTGCACTGAATGAGTTAATCAGTATGAAATAATGAAAGACATATGGTCTTCAAATACTATAGCGTGTTTACCTCCCCCCCCCCCCCCCCCCCCCCAGCATTCCCGGAGAAAAGGCAACCAGAGACCCGTTCCAGAGCAAGAAAAAGTTCAGCGCTCTCCTGGAAGATTTGAACTACCTCCCTGCAGACCAGTGCCGGCAGTACCTCAGGGTAGGATTGGGAATCTTGAATCTTTTGCACCCACATGAACCCAATTTAGGTAAAATCAGGAGATGGGTTTCTTTGACCCTGCCTGTCTTTTGAGTAAGTTGGGAGGAAATAGGGAATGAGAGAAGGGAGAAAAGGAATGAGAGAAGGGAGAAAATGACATTGTCAAAGACCCGGAGTCCAAAATATGTCACGAGTGGTGGACTAGATAATCTAGACCGCTTGTCAATTAACTCTGAGACATGGGACTGCTGTCCTGAGGTACGAGCTCAGCTGAAAATCCTTGCGGACAAGGGAAGGGTTAATATTAGTAGGTTCTGCCAGCCCTTCTTGATGTTTGAACAGTCAAACCACGCTGTTCTGCCTCCGCTAAACAGCTTAGTCAAATGTGGTTTCATTTCTTTTACACACACACACACATGCACACGCACACACACATAAGGACACACACATGTGTACGCACATACACACACACTCACTCACACACATGTGCACACTCACACTCACACCTCAATGACTTTTGCCAGGAGCTGGAAACTGTACGCTACAACTACAACTCACGAGACATGTGGGTGGTTGGCGGGTGCTCTGGTGTGGTTTGCTCCTTCTTTCCTACCAAACATCTATCATCCTTATTTCCCCTCCTTTTCGTTTTTTTTGTTACTCTCTTGTAACTCCTCTAATCTTCGGCACTTATACGACCTTATGGTGTTGCAAGTGCTGTAAAACTCTTTACTAAAACTAAACTCACAAGACAGTTCTGTCACACATGGTTTTGTTTCTTTCTCCCCCCCCCCCCTCTCCCCCTCAGGACATGTGCCAGGAACTGGAGACAGACAACCTAGACTGTCTGGTGGCCATAGTACAGGAGCTCAAGCTGGATGAGGAGGGGGCTGACAGATTCCAAGAGGTAATGGGAGAGGGGGGGTGGGGAAGAGGGGGCCGATAGATTCCAAGAGGTAATGTGATGGCTGCTTGTTTGCTTTTTTGCTGATAACCCATTGAGCTCTGACCTCCTGAGGCTACCTTTTTTTTCTTGAAACACAACAATTTGCACCATGTCAGTACATTTTTACGTAACCTACAATTGGTCACTTTAAAGGACGAGCGGGTTAACCCAGATTTCGGGGGTTTCCAGAAATCTTGACCTACACCAAAAGTAGAAATTGCCCTACCTATAGGAGAAGTTTGGTTTCATTGGTGTGTATATTTGTTTAGTTATAGAGAAAAGTCTCCTGGTCTTTTAAAGAAACTGAACAAGGGGTAAAAACTTTACCTTCGATTTTATTTTTCCCATTTTTCGGGATAGCCCCCTTATGCTTCATCTATCCCTACACCCTGGGGGCATTTTGTACCCCCGGGGTTGTATTCTTCACATTTTGAATACTTCTAGTACGAAGATCTCTTTGAGACTTTCAGTATTTCTCAAAAAATCATTTTGACAGTCTGCTATGCAAAGCTTACAGATCGGATTAACGAGTAAATTTCCTCTTTGGAAAGTGGTGGCACAGAGTTCCCCACGTCATATGGATACGATAGTAAAACATGAAGTAGGAATAGGGTTAAAAGCTACCAAATATCGGCACCAAAGTCTGGACACAGAACAAAAAAAACACCAAAAAAACCACACCAAAAACCCCCCATCCAGAACAAAACACACACAAAAAATAGCAAAGCTATCTTCCCTTGTGCCGCCAGTACTGCCGAGAGTTGTCGGCCATTGTGGAGAGTCTGGAGGAACAGAACCACCGCAGTCGCTACCACCGCTCCGAGAGAGATTCCAACATGGCGCTCTGCGACTCCAACATGAGGTACTATCTGCAGGTAGGTGAAGTAACATATTTATTTATTTATTTATTTATTTATTTATTTATCCATTTATTTATTTATTTATTTATTTATTTATTTATTTATATAAAACATTGTTCTGTGTGTTTACTCTAAGACTAACAATTTATAGATTGATGAAAAACAACCATGATTGTTTCGTTTCTTTACGTAAATCAACATGCAATACATTTTTATCAGGAGGGAAAATTGTTCTTTCGAAGGATCGTGTCCGTGTCCAAATAGACACTGTGGTGTTGAGACACTTGAACTCTTGCCGAGACAGATGACAAGTTGGCCCTTCCTTTTTCTAATGGATAGCATTTGTATACTGCAAATCCCCGTTAATCATTTTTTGGGTAAAATTCACATGGAAATCTGTTTTTATATATTTACATAAAAGGTGCTGAGCCAAAGAATAAAAATTCAATAAAAATTGCCCTACGTTCTGAAAAATGCTGGTATCTTTGATTTAATTATTTTGACGAGTGCCTGATTTCACCACGCTGCCTCACAATTAAAATCTGGAACACCCCCCGGGGCAGTGCCACTGACTGTAGTGTCTTTAGGCCATTCCCAAAGGGGGGACATTTCTTGTTCATGCACAGTAGACTCTATTGTAAATGGGCTGATTCATCAATGTCATGCTCATAACTGTGCCTGATCTACAACAGGGAACTGCTGCTTTTTCTTTCCTAATCCTTACTATAGTCATTTTTCTCTACTTCTTTTGTATGTTTATCACTCTCTTGTGACCTGCTATTTCCGGGGTGCCTTGAAAGTCGAAGCAGACTTTGTGCTGTTGAGGCTAGAGAGGTGAGCAGAGTAAGCGTGATACCCTGTAAAGACTTCTCTGTTGACTCCCACCCCTTGGCGCTCATATGACCTTATGCAGTTGCGAGTGCCGTAATACCCTCTACTTTAAAAAAAAAAATTTTTTTAAATAATCTGGAAATGAAATGATACAGAATAACCTCTTTAACGTCTTTAGTGGAATGTTTGCTGTATCTAAGAAACACCTTGATGTAGACCTGGGCGACCGTGGCATGATGATTACAATTTGATGGATGCCTTTTTTCCCTAGCACTTTGAGTCTCTCTCTCTACAGGTCATCGACAACTGGAAGAAGGATATAGCTTCTCTCGACGACCTACAGACGGCCTTGAATTCTCTGCTAGGTCGTCTGGTGCCGTGGCTTCACGCTCACATGGACGGTCAGCGAAGTGTTGGGGAGATGGTGGAAGTTTTGGAGCAAGTGGCGCACGCTGACAGGACCGAGGCTAGACAGGTGAGGGTGGGTGTGTGTGTGTGTAGGTGTGTGTGTGTGTGTGGGTGGGTGGGTGTGTGTGTGGTGGGTGGGTGGGA